CGTTTGTTTTGTAATAAGATGTTTTGCTGTTTTTACCACACCACCGAATAGAACGGCATTGTTAGAGATATTATCTTTATTACAATAAATATAGAATATTTTTTGGAATATACGGAGACGTACACACAAGTCAGTTGTTGGCGCTGTACTGTTTCAGCTTTCTAATTTGTGATTTCAGTGCAAACTAGAATTGATATTTATAAGTGATATATGGCCCATTTGCCTGATTAGTTGATGGATGGATGGCCCTTATTTCGTCTCTATTTCTGGTTAATATATTCGATGGGAAGGTACAATAGAGCCTCACGTGACTAGGCTTGCTTTTTATTAAAATATTGATGGTTTTGGCGTAAAGCCATACAGCTTATTCTCTGCCAACGAGCTATGGAGCGCAGCATCCTGGTCACACCGAATTTGGAACAGTGATCTGCGCTCCAAAACACGAATCGTAGATATGGGCCAACAAGCCGGTAAACTAAAATGGGACTGGACTGATCACGTCTGCCGCATGTCAGACGAATCGTGGGCGAAGGCCACTCAGAATGGATCCCCAAAGATAGAAAATGTCCATGCGACAGGCCAAAGCGTCGATGGCGACTGGACCTCAGTGACGCAAAACAGAGAGGTGTGGAGAGAGGGGAGGGAGGCCTGTGCTCAGCAGTGGGACAGTGTAGGCTCGTAAAAAAAATCCGGGCCAAATAAGTCTGTCGGTAGAGCACTATGGGTACTTTATTGGTAAAAAATGGGGACAGAAATTTTTATAGAAACTATTACGACGTAATTAAGTATACACTTTTAACAGGAACTATAATACCGGCACGCTATGATAGCCGGATCGACGTTTGTCCGTTTATCAAGTTTCAAGGAGCTAAAATTGATATACATTGTTGTCAATAGTGACGTGCAGTAAAATTTATGGATCTATAATATTACGACACAACTCGGCATTCGTATTTCGAAATTCGAAATTAAAAAAAATGAAATCCAATACCATAGTCACTTATAGGATCGCAGTCCAGCACAAGTTCTACCTCCGGCAAATTCGAGCCAAAGCTCAACGCAAAACAAAGCAGTTTCGAATTGATGATTTTATTTTCGTTTTATTGCAACTTTTTAATCAGCTACCCCTTGCAATACTAGTTATAATACTAAATACTTATAGATGCGACTCGCATTTGATTATATTTTTTTCGATAATGAATTGAGGTTTCACATCACTATTGTAATCTGTCAAAACGGCCATCATAGCGTGTCGGTATTAAAATTTTTTTTTTTTTTGACGCGTAGGGTGCGGGCGGTAATCAAGCTTGAAACGGAAGTTACCAGAAGTCATTTGGTATATTTGGTCACGAAAAAGTGATATTTTGGCAAAACAGGGTCGATGGCGAGAAGCGCCATCTACATTCGGAAAGACTAATCTATTATGTCACTCGAGAATGGGAAGTCGTCGCAATATCGGGTTGGACGTTTGTGAGTACGTTTCGCGTGCACTAGATAGGGTCGACGCGCCATAAAATTAAATTTCACACTTATATTCCGAGAAACAGAAGTGCGGACCCGCATGCTGATTTTGATCCAAACCGGAATCGAACCGATCGGGTAGTCTCGAAATTAGATGGGTTTCCGAGAAGATGAACCTGATTCCTACTATATCTTTCCAATTTGTGAGTTAAATCAATTATTGTTCCGATTTGAAATGTCAAAAGTTTCCGATCGGCCAGTTGTGAAACGCAATTATGCGCCTCGACTCGGAAGAGACGCAGTTTCCGAACGGGAGAGGCAATCAAAATCAAACTGAAGGATTCGAACTACGGCCTCTGCTAGTGAGTAGGTAAGTGAATTAGATATGATTTTATCATTATTGTTTGATTTCGAAAATTATAAAAAGTAGTTGACCTACATCTTTACACGAACATTGAAAACAGACCCGATTTTCGTGTTCTCATTGTGTCACACTCGTTGCTTGGGCTACGCAATCGTTTAAAAAATCTCAACGTATTAGTTTACAAACATGTTTTAACTGTCATATTTTAACCAACTAGGTGGTGCCCGCGACTTCGTCTGCGTAGAATAAATTCTTCAAGTAGCCTAATGTAGGTACTATATTAATTTTACTATACTAGCTTTATTGGTTCTCCATACAAGCTTCATTCCGTATGTCACACACTTTAGAGCGGTTACACACGGCGACATGAAGTGACACAAACGCGTATTTGTGAAACGCGCGAGTGAACGACACGCCTGTCCGTAGCAGTTGCTTTAATATCGCAAAGATCTTAGGTATCTGTAGTATGGAGACTTTTTTATAATACCTACCAAGTTACGGTAGATAGATAGATAGATAAAACGTTTATTTGGATCTACAGCTACACATACATGACAGAAAAGTATGTAATATAATAAAAAAACCAGCAGAGTCGCAGCACTGCCTAACACCCAGTTATGTATGTATGCTGTAGCAGTGCAAAAAGGCCATAGCGCATCGTCGGTGTTTACTCAGGATGCCGCGGAGACGATTACCAGCCAGCTGAACCCATTTTAATATTGTATAAATTAAACAAATAATAATTTCGAAACTAAATAGATACGGAAGATAATATAAATATAATAAATAATATTTTTTTAAGCTTTTTTTAAAAGTGTTAATAATATAACCTAATTATAAATTGAAATTCTAAGTCATTATTATATAAAAGTCAATTTAATTATAAATAGGTAAACATTGCTATTACGCAATGTTATGCAGGCAATTTTCGGTACGAACAAGTCGTGGGGCTGGAAGTAAGCGAAAACTATAAAACGCAAAGCTCGGAGGGGCTGTGGCACTGCGCTCGCCACCTTGAGACATAACTTGACAAGTCCCATGTGCCTGTAATCTCACCAGCACACTTACCTTTCCAACCGGAACACAGTAATGCTGACATTCGCCGGTAAGAAGAGTCCTAACAATGTGCTTCCCATAAGTCTCAATGGAATTCCATTGAAGAGAGTAGCACATTTCAAATATTTAGGACACTATATTGCCGACGACCTCAAGGACAATATGGCTATAGAACGCGAGCGCAGGGCACTCTCGGTGAGGGCCAACATGCTGGCTTGCAGGTTTGCTCGATGTACGGTGGAGGTGAAGGTCACTCTTTTCAGAGCTTACTGCACACCACTGTACGCGGGGGCTCTGTGGGCCAGCTATACCCAAGTCTCGCTGAGGGTCATGCGCACGCAATACAATAACGCCTTCAGGACGCTGATGCGGCTGCCGCGGTTCTGCAGTGCGTCTGCCATGTTTGCTGAAGCCCGTGTGGATAGCTTCATGGCAGTCTTGCGCAAAAGATCAGCATCTCTGTTGAACAGAATACGTGGCAGCGGTAACAGCCTCCTGAAGACAATTGCGGTTAGGTGTGAGTGTCCCACAATGCGGCATCTCATTAATAATACAAAATCTGTTCTAGAATTTAAGTACTAACCTAATGATAAGTTTCATTGTTTTAACACTTATGAATCCTAGTTATCTGAATAAATGAATTTGAATTGAATTACTGCTTGGCGGCAGAAATAGGTAAGGTCGCAGTACTTCCCTGCATGAACTCTTTCACAAGGAACTCCATTGCTACTTGCCATTTGTTGGCGATCACATCGATATAAAAGCGCGATTGCACCGATTCAGTCCCGTATGTTGAATCATTATAAGCAAAACATCTGTACAAGTTTATGCACATTGTAATGTTTTGTTAATTGTGAATTTAAAAGTGAAAATAAGTTATAAATAATTTTGTTTGCGTCGTCTATACAACCTCAAACGGCTTTGATTGATTTCGCATAATAGTGAGCGTTGAATCTATCCCTTTGGAAAAAATACATAGTAAAATTGAGGATATAGGTACACTGATATGTGACTATACATGTGAAAACACGATTCCTAAAATTTTTCGCGATAGAAAAAAAAACACAAACTCACTATGCTTACCTTGAAATTTTACAAGAAACCCTTGGATTCAATAGGTACTTTACATATACCAATGATTTTTTTTTATATCAACTGAACTAAATAAAACAAGTATACTATATTATATTATATTATATTATAGTTCATGGTCTTGAAGGCCGCCGGTAGGTGTCCAGTCATTTCCAGCTATTTCGCTAAATGGCATGAGTGTAAAACAGGTGTCTCATTTTAAATACCTTGGACATATACTTGCCGACGACCTTAAAGATGATGACGACGTCGAGAGGGAACGCAGGGCTTTGGCGGTCCGCGGGGATATGCTGGCCCGCTGTACGGACCAAGTGAAAATTACGCTTTTTAAAGCGTATTGTCAGGGTCTGTACACGGGCGGCTTGTGGTTTAGCTGTTCGCAAAGGTCGCTGAATTCCCTTCGCGTCCAGTACAACAACGTGTTCAGGATGATGTTGAGACTACCCCGGTACTGCAGTGCAGTTTGCTCTATCCCATACAAGCTGCTTTAATGCGGTCTTGCGGAGAAAGGTAGCATCTTTGGTTAGTAGGCTCCGGGGTAGTGGCAACAGCATTCTGAGAGTTGTTGCAAACGACCACAGAGCGCCTGTACTGAGGCATCTCGTACGGACAATGATTCCGCACGAGATGTCTCGTAAGTACATGACATTTTAGTTTCTAAGTAATTTATAATTATAATTTCATACTAACAATAGTCTATAAGTTTGTTTCTTTATTTTTTTACTAACACCAATGGATCCTGTTATCTGAGAAATAAATAATTTGAATTTGAATTTGAATATATGACATACATTTTTCAAATGACTGTAAATTCGTATGTAAAAAACTATCCTTGTCGCTTGACCAAAGCAAAACGAACCGTATTAGCACGGGAAAAATTTTAATTGGAGCTTAGTATGATTTATGTTTATTACACAAAGTAGCCAATGTCCTTTTCCTAAGACCCATTTATCTCTATATCAAAATTCGTCACTATTGATTGAGCAATTTAGGCGTGAAGACGTAACCAACTTATATATTGTTTCAGATTCAGTAAGTCAATGCGTATGGGGAATCCTGCTCATCTTGATATCCATAACCGGGTTCATCTTCACACCACTCGACGTTATGTTAAGGGAGAAGCTCAATATGAGACCGGGTAAGACACCTTTTAAAAAATTTTTGCATCCTTAATATAATAAGGCCAATTTGAAAAATGATAACTTTTCTAAGAGAGAGGCTTCAAGATATTTGACATAAAAATAAAAAAGAAAGTACGCTCAAGAAAAATATAATTATTTATTTTATTTAATTTTGTGCCATATCTGGGTTACTTTATTGTCTAATTTGGGTACATTCGAAAACAATTTAGGATTTATAATAAAAATTATATATGTACAAGTGCCTTCGAGCGCGGTCATATGTTGCGTGGTTCGAGTGCGAGTAAATGCGGCGTTGTTTTTTTTTATAATCTTAATTTGAGGAGTTTTAAGGTAATGCTACTTAATTTATACATCTAACCTAGATTAAGACTATCTAAATATATTGTGTATACTTCGTTCGACGAAGGAACGGTCAGTATACTGTTACACCACCCAGTCAGTTGTATGTTAACCACACTGCCCAATTGTCTCCTGAGTCTTTCGGTCTGAACACATTCCATCAAAACGTGGTAAACGTCTTCAAGTTATAGAAATTAATAATAATAATTCTATTTCAACTATGCTTAATTTTCAAATACAATTGATCACGGAATTAATATGATAAAAATGAGTTATGGTATTATTCTTTTTATAATAAAAGCTATCTACGTCAGTTGTGTAATTTTTGTAGACACCACTTTGTCCGGTTAGTTTGAAAAAATATCTTAGAAAATATAACCTAATTCACATTTGTTAATTTCTTATACACATAAACGGTTTAAATTAACGACATTCTGTATCATATTACGAAGAAGTTTCGTATAAGGCCCAGTAAGACACAACTGTAATTTTTAACTTTTTTACTAATATAAAGTCTCGAGAGGTAAAAGTCGTGCGCCTGACAGTAAGCTACACGGCTTTCCATGACAGTTGCAGTGCCACTAAGAATGGCACTGCAACTTTAAATCGTAAAAATCTGAGGGGCACTCCCACTGCGCCTGTCGCCCTGAGACATAAGTTTACAAGTCCCATGTGCCTGTAATTTCACGAGCACCCTTGACCCTTCAAAACCGGAACGTAGTAATGCTCACATTACCGCTCGGCGACAGAAATATATAAGGTAGCAGTACTTCCCTTTTTCTCTTTTTTTTTTATTACCGTGAGGAAAATGCGTTACGCATTCCCCGCCGTCTCCCAGCGGCTATGTGACAGCATACCCACTAAAAACCTCACAATGCACCGCCGCACTCGTGACACTTCGGAGTCATCTCCCTCCGTGCGATCTTGTGCAGGTACCTAGTCACCGAAACAGCCGTGTCCGGTGAGTACATGAACAAGGCGGTAGGTGAGGGACCCGTGCTTCCTCTTTCTCCAATCGGCCAGTACATGGAGCATCGCCTGGACGGTGCGCTCCCCGTATCTGGCCGATCGGAGTGCCTCCTCGCACCCCGCCTGGACGGCGGTGTTGGCGGCACGCCGAACCCCCACTAACTCCTCTAGTGTGGGGCGCTCTCCACGTGCCCTGGCTTCCGCACGGCACCTGTAGGTCTGCTCGAGGACGGACGTCTCGAGCTCCCAGGTTGCGGATCCAGTCAGGGCGCATGCCGCCGCTTCGGAAACCGTCCGGTACCCCCGAGTCGCCCTCACCGCCATTAGCTTCTGCGGCCTGCGCAGAAGCGGCCACAGTCTGGTGGTGAGGGCTAGCAGCAGTACTTCCCTAGACGAACTCTTTACTGCTATACTTTGCCCAACCTAAAAATAAAGTAACATAACCTAAGCGGACTCCGACAAATATTCAACAAAACTCTATTTTGTACAATGCTGCAATGATTGATTATACTACAAAATTACATTAAAATATAATAGAATTGTTGATATACTATTTGAATGACAATAGTTCGTGTGTTAATTTCGAAACCAAAGTTTTGGGAGAACCTTGAGTTGGAGCTTAAATTACCTCAGTTTTGCGGTTAAACAAATTACCGTTACTTACATTTAGAACCAAACTTTGTAGGCAAATACATTACCTCTATAAAACTAAAGCAATCATTACTAAAAAAAAAATATTTTTCGGTTAGGAAATTATTCTATAATAAGTAGGTAATATGTTTATTATTTCCTTATTATACGGTATTGTTTTATTCCTGATTTTTTCCTACAATAGTACATGAGTAAGGCTGCTAACAGATTGACTACATGTTTGCAGTCAATGCGAGAAATTGTAATCAACATCATGCAGTCGATCTCGATTTCAGTAGCAGTAGAGCTCCATGTGAAAGAGTTCGTCCAGGGTAGTACTGCCACCTTATCTATTTCTGCCGCCAAGCAGTAATGACAACATTACTGCGTTCCGGTTTTGAAGGGTGAGGGGCACTGCAACTGTTATAGACGGGCGTGTAGCTTACCACTTGGATTCATTAAAAAAAACCTATGACTTCAAACTTATTTAACTCCCTTCTTTTTATGTCGGGGATACAAATGCAATTTTTTGTTCAAATTATAAACTGCTGCAGTTCATAACATTTAGATTAAACATTTAGACATAACAAGCAGTAATTCTTAATTTATATTCCTGGCGTTGAACTTGATTGATGTTTGAGGTTATTGATGTTGCGAGTAACCCGTTATCTATTATGGTGCAGTAACATTCGGTAGTCGACCGACCGTGACTGATTGAAGTAACTGGAGATTTTGGTAATGAATTTTTTAAGGAATCGTTACGGCTTGCGGTGTACCCACAGACCACATGGTATATCGCACCGACAAATCAGGGGGTCTACTCTCGATCTCCGTCTGACAACCGTCCGAAACAATTACTGCCAAATAAGCAATACTTGACCAAATGAAAAGACGCGCGATGCGAATGAAGCTTCATTCTTGATACTTGTCTTTTAATTTTGTCGAATATTACTTATTTGACAGTAATTGTTTCGGAGATCGAGAGTAGCCCCCCAGGAAACGGCCTAACTGTAAAATGTACATGTCTAAATCCCAAAAACAAAAAAGTAAGTATGCACAGGAAAAATCAAGCTATAACCAGTAATTGACTGAATTCATCGTGTTTTCCTCTATATCTAAGTTACTTTTTTAAATGCTTACATAACCGCTTGGCGGCAGAAATAGGTAATGTGGCAGTACTTCCCTGATTGATCTCTTTCTCAAGGAGCTCTACTGCTACTAAATGTTGGCGGCAGTTTGCTAAACATCCTCCGGTACCTCCAGGCGCGTTGGAGAATTTGGAAACTGGAAAGACGCCGTTTTTCGTCGGGAAGCGAGCGTGCCTTATGCGAGGTTTGGTAGCCGGCTTAGAGTCGATGGCTCCGCTTAGCTCCGGCACCTATCTGGTAAATAGGGAGGGTGCTGTACGTGTACCTGGGGCGGCTCACCTAAGGCACTAGTCTTACAGAGACCCGAATGAAGTCCGTGCAAACGGACTGATCTAGTGTTAAGACCTGACTTAGATAGTACCTGCGCTGGCATTCTCGCTCAGGTCATAGTGCCCTTCTTGTAGACTCTAAGGTTCGGTAGGGAGCAGTGGCGAGGTGTCTATATAACTCGATTGCCACCGGCTTGTCTAAAATTTTCCGCGTACCAGTGGAGGCGCGCAAGTGGTGGGGCACTTAAAAAAACATTTATTCTAAATAAGTATTCACTATTACGCGTAATAACTTGTCTCGATGCATCTCAACTAGAGATGGGTCATGGATAAATATCATTGGGATAAATACTCAGGATAAATATCCATTTTTACTCGATATTTATCCAAAAACTGTTTTACCAATAAATATTTTTAATCGTGGTTTATTATTTACATTTAATACAAATTAAAGTAAAATAAAGTAGGCAGGACATTATTGTTAAAAAAGAATGGCAAAAATGTACTTATTTAATAAAATATGAATTCTAATGAATTTTATTATAAAAAAACAAAAAAATGATTATCCGTGTTTTAGGACAAATATTCAGTAAAAACGGATATTTATCCTTAGACGGATATTTATTGGGTAAAAACCCATCTCTAATCTCAACCAATCAGCGTGAGGTAAACCGGCAGATCTTCTATTTCATTCAAGAAATCTACGCGCTCCCATCAAAATATACGTACACACTCGCAAAAATCCACTTTACGTGAGGCGTACTACAAGTTTCCGGAATGAATAAGAAAAATACTATAAATGGTCAGAAATTAATTTATTGTTTCTCAAAATATTCTCCGTTAGCGTTAATGCACTTTTTCATACAAATAAACCAATTTTGAAAACATTTATGCCACTCCTCAGTCACAATCTCTGAAACATATTTCTCATACTCTCGACAGACTCTTCAGGTGATGAAAATCTTTCAAAAAACTGGTTTTTAATTTTTGGAAATAAATAAAAATCACAAGGTGCCAGGTCGAGACTATACGCGGGATGACTCATAAGGTCAACGTTGTACACCTCCAAAAATTCATTTATCTGTCTGGCCGTGTGAGAACTGTCATTATCGTGATGCAAAATGATACGGCATTTACGGTTATTTTTACAGAGTTCGTTAATAACTTCCGGCAAACAAATGGTCGTGTACCAATCACTAATCACGGTACAACGATTCTCCAAAGCAATAGTAGCCACGTGTCCAGTTGTATTAAAAAAAGAAGCAATCATCTGCTTAGAGCACTTTGCACGCGCGCCGCTTTGGTTGGTTTCGGCTCATTTCGAAAGACCCGCTCGATTGCTGCTTTGTTTTGGGATCGTAACTATAAATCCATATTTCGTCACCTGTTACTATGTCCCACACCAAATTTGACGCCCCTTCGTTGAATCTGGTAAACATGGCATTGCACCAAGTGACGCGATCAGTTTTTTGAGCCTCAGTCAAATTCTGTGGGATCCACCGAGAGTACAGCTTAATCACACCCAAATGTTTAATTGTATTTGACTCATGCCTATGCCTAAAGATGCCCGAATTTCATGGTATGTCACATGCCTGTCTGTTTTAATCATACGGCGCACAGCATCGATGTTTTTGTTGTTCA